CGTGTTCCTCTGCACATGCATGACGAAGCCCCGTGTACACGTGTTAGCAGCATGGTCTACTGTGATGGACGCCCGTAGGCAAACTTTAGCGGGTTGATTCCCCAGAGCCTCACCGCGGCTCCGTTGGCCGAGGCTCCGCCCGTCTGCCAGAAGCTCCACCCGGCTCATCGTCCCGTCTCTTGGTGTTTGATATTTCAGTGTCTGTGTTCGTGTTCGCCTCCATCCTCCCCCCAGGTCTTGCTCTTCAGTGTGTCTCTCTGTGAAGTTGTTTCCTGTGATGATGAAAATTTCTCTCTGCCTGAATCTTTGTAGGGAAATAACGACTGAGTTACTACAATATCATGTGATAGACATAAACATTTATTCTATACTGTAATAAAATTAACTGAAGATGATATTTAAGTTTTTTTATGAAATGCGGGAAAAATTTCTCAGAAAAAAACAACTTGTTTTTGAAAACATGGCATGAGGTGTAATGTGTTCCTGAAAGAAAATGAAGGTCTTTAATCAAGTGAAGTCGACCTTATTTAAATATAGTTTATTTATTTTCAAGGCGTCACGTGTCTGAGTCGTTATTTTTGCACTGAACGAGTAAACAAAAGTCGTTTACATCACAATCACATGGAGCTGCTGTGAAAGTTTTTCTAGAAGAACATTTATCATCATTTGACAAAGAACTGAAGACAGTTTTAGGAACAGTTTGATCTTCTCTGATTTCAGCTTCTCACATGTGTGAGTTTGCTGCTTTATTTCACTGCAAAGTGAATTTATTTGGGTTTTTAAATGTTAATCAGACAAACTGCAACATCTGAAGACCTCAGTTTGGGTTTTTTTTTCAGGCATTTTATCAGTTTTGGTGAATATTTTCACAATCCAAGCACCAAACTGACACAGAGTCTAAGAAATGAGTTATAAATAAAGAAGCAGGCAGCATGATGAAGGTATTCATGGTCTTGTAATAAACAGCGATCCTGCATCACTTGTTGCTTCAGTTTGATGGCCAACATGAATTAACCTTAATTGGACAAATTGATTGTGTTGCAGTTCCTCACTGAGCACACAATCACACACACCAGTGAGTTTAAGAAACCAGACGAAACCTGTGCTGCTTGTAAATGAAAACACCTTTTCATTAAATCACACCATATCTGAGCTGAAACAGTCGACGCAAGAATTGTTCCACTGACAGGAACCAGTTGGCAACGATTTCATTCATCACATAAGTTATTTTTCCACAAATTTCACGATTCTAGTTTCTTATGAGTGAAGTTTTCTGATTCCTCTTTTAAATGTTTTTTTAATCATTCGTTTGAACGACGACCGACGGCGTCACTTTGGGCTGTTGAGGATTTTTCTCATTTCTGTCTGAAGTTTTGCAAATCAAACAATCGAGTCGTTCACGAATAAAATAATCAGCAGAATGAAAATCATCTTTAGTTATTGACTGATACAAAACTTTTACTTTTACTTGTGATGGGGCGTTTTTAGAAATAAGAAAATTAAGACTTTCTCTGCCACTGGATATATGAACGATAACAAGAAGAGAGAAAAAAGAAAAGGTTTTATATCAGTTGCATATTTCAGACGTGGAGTTCGGAGGTGTTTCACAAAAAAGGAGCAACAGTGAACATAACTAACAAACATTGAAGCAACAGAAAAGACCATAAAGGATCAGAAATATTATTTTAAATGGCACATTACAGGTCCCACAGTTTGCATGAGGACTGATGTGTTCACTCTTACAGCCGTCCGCAGAACATTTGGTGAGTTTTATGAGACTTTTTATTGTTTTTAGAGCAGCAGCTGTAAGACGTAAATAAACCCGATGGACTGACAAGAAGCTGCTCGGTCTGAATGTCTTGAAGTTTGAGACGAGTGTTAATCTGTGCACTTTAAAACAACAATATTGTGCGTATTTACTGGAACATGTGCAGCATCCTTATTTTCCTACTTATGGACAAATCTGTGCAGCATTAATCCACCAGTGTTTCTACTCATACATACATATAGTTTTGGTTTATTTTTTTTTAAATCCTCCTACAGGTATTCCTTAAATGTTCACACTTTTTCCTTTGTAGCAGTGTAAAAGTCCCGACTGCGGGATTAATACAAGTTTTTTCTATCAATAGTGACAGAAGTACATGTCGTTATTTTTAACAGATTTTATTTAAGATCAATTTTATTGATTC